GCAAGAGCCTGGAAGTTTCCCTGTAGGGAAACAGGCTGGGGCCTRTAGGCCCTGTCAGAAGGAAGCTTCCAGGCAAGAGCCTAGAAGTTTCCCTGTAGGGAAACAGGCTGGGGCCTGTAGGCCCTGTCAGAAGGAAGCTTCCAGGCAAGAGCTTGGAAGTTTCCCTGTAGGGAAACAGGTTGGGGCCTGTACAGCATGTAACAAGATCCTGATCCGACAATCCCTCCCTTGGACCCAAATGGCTCTAGACATCACCAAGAACCTGTCGCCCATAAACTCCCCCCCGAACATGAGAGGTCTCTACTGGCTCGTGGTGAAGGACTGGGTAATCAAATCATGCTGGCCTCGCAGGAGAAACCCTACAGAGCTCATTACAACCCCCACTCAAACAACCATCTCATACTGGAGTCCCACCATCAAAGTCTGGCGTAGAATGATGCCAAGTAAACACGGTTCACCAGGAAACAGAGAAGAGGTCCTGACACAACCCTTGGATCACCGACCCTAACGGAGGGACATGGGCACTACGCACAAAAGACCGAAGATGGCTATCCTGGGTGGGAAAAGGCGTGTGGCAGGTGAAACACATCTAGGCAGAGGAGAAAGGACGTTGGGCTACAAAACAAGAGCTACGAAATGTCTTAAAAGGTTGTCACTCCCTCGCTAAAAACCTAACGTTGATCCAGAAGAGTATCCCAGTACAATGGCTCTCCCTCCTAAGGGAGGACTTCTCGTGGAAATACGGGGATTGGGGCATACTCATCTCCCAAACCCAGCCTGCTAGAGCATATCGATTCATCTCTCGAACCAACCCACTCTGCTACCTATCTAAATTCTACTCATACCCCATAGCTAATCACAACCTACAAGAGCTGGAAATCCAGAACAAAGATCCCCAGTGCGACACATTTGAAACCTTCCGACTGAGGAAAGTGAGGGTTTCAAAGTCCAAACCTTGGAAAATCTTCCAACCGGACCTCAGCATTTCAGACCTTGAATTCGACCCCAAGGAGTGGGTTTGGAAGCGGGGCAAATCCGAGAGAACGAGAATGATATTTGATTACGATGTCAAATTCAGCTATGAGATGGGTCTGCAAACCACAGACTCGGACCCCAGACTCAAAGGAAAGTGGAGGGAGATCCTGAATCTGGATCCCACGGATTCCATTTCCATCCCATGGACAAAGTACCTGACCATTAGACCAGTTAGGATTCGAAGCATGCAGTGGCTCCTAGCGCACGCATCGCTGCCGGTCAATCAATGGCTCCACAAGAGGAGGAAACATACTGACCCTGACAGCTCTGAGCTGTGCAGGCTATGCACAGACAGTATCCCGAAAGCAGCATGGATATGGAACAAGGTGCACGACCTATGGTCCCTCCTCTTCTCACCACCCCCTCCGCCCACAACTCCCCTGAACATCCTGCTGCTTTCCAACAATACTAACAATCTCAAAGGCGGCAAGGAAGTATGGTTTCACCTGCTCAAAAAGCTGGCTCTATGGGTAATCTGGAAAAGGAGAAGTACCAAGACGATCGAAGGAACTGAGGTGGCAAGAGAAGAAATGTGGGTACTGTTGCTGGGATGGCCGAAACTGAGATTCGATCCAGATGAAGGGAGGTGACATCAACAACGAAAGGCAGACCAGAAAGGATAGCCATGAAGAGACGGATCTTCATGAGAAACTGGCTTCTTCAGGGAAAGATTGCAACTGTGACAGATAACAGATTGATTTGGAAGAAATGGCATACCACACCTCCAACAAGGACGGTGCACCAGTGATGGGCAAACTGAGATTTTCATCTCAACAGTATGGACAACTCTCCTCTTTTCTTGCTTTACACGAATCAGCCGACAGAGTCACAGTAGATTCTGAGAGGAAAAGTGACATGGCAAGCTGACAGTCAATCCTCCGGATAGGGAGCAATCAATGCTGATCAGGGTTCCTTCGGCCAGACAGATGGAAGCGTGAGAGTGTTCACCATGTATCTCAATTTTTGACTTGCCGGTGGAAAGGAACCGGACTGACGCTCCCCAGAATGGATAAGGAGCCAGGACCATAAGGACCTGTTAAAAAAAAAAGGAGAAGAAAAAAAAAAAAAGGATACGTTATAAATATCTAACAATTTGGTAAAAAACTAGGCTACCAGCCGGGTCGCCCGGGTCCTGGGTGGCCAGCCCGTGCAAGGACCAGGGAAGGTCCCGGCAAAAAAAAAAAAATAAAAAAAAATCGAAAACATCCGGAAAAAAACACTGTTATGCAGAAAAATAAACTGAACAACTTTTGCCTCAGGGTCACATCGAAATTCTTTACCAAATGTAAAATAAAAAATAAAATTTAAAAATATATTTTTCTTATTATTATTTTTGGCCCGGCCGGGCAAGTGACCCCGGGCCACTCTGGTAGTCTAGGTAAAAAATAAAAAAATCTGGTATATTTAACTCAAGTACCTAGGCTACCAGACCGGGCCGCCCGGGTCCCGGGTGGCCAGCCCGTGCAAGGATCAGCAAAGGACCAAGCAAAAAAAAAAAAAAAAAAAAAAAAAAAAAAAAAAAAAACCCACAAAAAAAAATGTTATGCAGAAAAATAAACTGAATAACTTTTGCCTCAGGGTCACATCGAAATTCTTCACCAAATTCAAAATAAAAAATACAATTAAAAAATATTTTATTTATTTATTTTTTTTCATGTTTTTGGCCCGGCCGGGCAAGTGACCCCGGGCCACTCTGGTAGCCTAGTCAATTACCAAATTTGAAAATTGAGATTTCTTGTTAAAAAACAAAAAAAAGGGTGGCAGCCCTGAGATATCATTGTCAAACTGACCAGCCCCGTGTAATCCAGCAGCATCAGAACTACTGGCCTCCAGTCATGTGGTTCATCGGATCCCAACTCAGGTCTGTACTTCAACAGTTTGTGGGTGTACCAACTGAACAAGGCCCGCTGGTAAATTTCTGCTGTGAGAATTATAAAGTTTTACGAGGAAGGAAATCTCAATTTGTTTTTTTTTTCAAAAACTTTTTTAAATTTGATGCTAGCTGTTACGGACTCCACCAGGCCTCGATCCCTGGTCTATCTTTTTGCTGTTTCGTCTGCATCCCGTTTTCGGCCTGGCACCCTTTTTCCAAACCCCTCCTTTGGTACCGTAGGATTTTGGACAACTGGCGCCATGCTGCAATTCGGGCGCCACTTTCAAATACCGCATTTTTCAGTTCTNTTGGTGTAAATGTGAAACTGCGTCTCCCGATGAGTGTGCAATCAGCATAAGTGTGCAACCAGCAGCAATGCCAAGAGCCTTACACCGATAGACCAACAGTGTCTACATAAAAAGATGTCACCAAGCAACTGACACATGCATGAGCCAGCGTAGAAGGATTATCCCAAAGCACAAGGAACAAGAGGTGAGTGGTATATGTGTATCGTCAAACAGATAAAAGATCTTTCCCCGTAAAGTTCGAGAGGTGCAGGCCTCCTTTTCCTTTCTTTCTGAATTTCAAATCTTAGATCTTAGAGTGATTCATGTAAGGATTTAAAAAAAAAACTCTGAAAAAGGAAAAAGCAACTTTTTTCTCTTTTTTCTTACCCCATGAAGTTTGTTAGGTCCAGGCCTTTCAAGCAAAACTTAACCAGGGTTGAGTCCTTGGTGAAAGACGAAAACCTTGCGCCGCAAAACCTCTGCGAAGTTGCAAACAGAATAGGTTCAGGTTTCAGAAGAGGAACCACAAATTTGAAAATTTGCAAATAAGTTTGTAAAACGCTAAAAGTGAAATCTTTTAAAGTGCAAGGAAAATGAGCAAATAGTGAAATGACAGAATTCCAAATTGCAAAATCACAATGAAAGCCAGAAAGTCGTAAGCTGTCCGGAAAGCAGAAATGCGCTGATATCAAACCGAAGGAGAACCAAAGCAGCGAACTCAATTGTCAATGAAAGCTAGGGTACCACATTGGCACGAGACCATTTGCTCGGCCGGGCCAAAACAAAATAACAAAATAACAAAATAACAAAATAACAACCAAAACAAAAACTCAGAGAATGATATAGTCCATTTTTTATTTAAATTCAAAATGACCTTGGTAGTCCACGCCGTAAACGATGTGTTGGTCCTTGGTCTACGCCCAGTGGTTTTTGGGGGCGATTCGATGAGGGACCTAGCTAATGCGTTAAACACTCCGCCTGGGGAGTACGGTCGCAAGGCTGAAACTCAAAATTATTTTTTAATTCAATAATTTTAGTTTTAATTTAAAATTTCGTAAGGAATATCAATGTGGCCCTGAGGCAAAAGTTGTTCAGTTTATTTTTCTCCATAACATGGTTTTTTTTTCGAAGTTTTTTGGATTTTTTTGTTTTCCTTTTTTTTTGGCTGCGACCTTCCCTGGTCCTTGCACTGCCGGGCCGCCCGGGAAAACAAGGTGACTGTTACGGACTTCGCCAGGGCTCGATCCCTGGTCTATCTTTTGCTGTTTTGGCTGCATCCCGTTCTCGGCCTGGCACCCTTTTTCCAAACCCCTCCTTTGGTACCATAGGATTTTGGACAACTGGCGCCATGCTGCAATTCGGGCGCCACTTTCAAATACTGCATTTTTCAGTTCTGCCCTCGGGGCCTTTGCAGAAATGCCCCTGGTACCGTACGTGCCACCGGCTCCCCGTACGGTACGGGGACGAGTCTCGGACCAGTCTCGTACCAGTTTTCTGCTGTACTCGTACTCAGTGTGACTTGCTTCGACATTGTGTTCGGAAATCCAAGACTTCGACTTTGCGACTTTGCCACTTCCTGTCTGCGTCCTTCGAGTCGTGTCGAGTCTGTGTCGAGTTGAGTGTGTGTGTGTGTGTGTGTGTGTGCTCTCACTCTCTCCCTCTCTCTCCCAGCCTCGTTGCCTCAGCCCCGTCACACTAGCCTTGCTAGGTTACATCTACTGGAATTACAAACGGATGAAGGATTCTCTATTCAGTTCCGAACTTTTGGGTTTATTTATTTATTTATTGAAAACCGGCCCCTCCGCTAGAATTTTCTGCACTTTCGGTATATTTCTGCACTTTCAGTATATTTCAGCTGAGAAATTGACAAACGCATTTGCAACTTACCTTTTTTTTTCTTTTTTCTGAGCATGCAACATTCTGAAAAGATTCAGGCTGCAGACCCGAGTCCCGGTCCCAGGGTCCCAAATTGTCCTTGTCCCAGTTGGGAACAGTCCCAGACGGTCTTGATGCCAGGCTGTCCCGTTAGGATAGGTCCTAGGGTCCGTAGATTGAAGTGTTGTAGGCCTGTAGGTGTCGGTACCGAAACATCACAGGTCGTTAGAAGTCAGTCCGGTACCCGACAAGAAAGTCCAGAACAGTCCAGTCTAGTTCCAAGTCCTATTTTGCAGCATGTCCCAGGAAAGTCTGGAAGCAACCGGACCGTCAAAATGATTGCAGCAGACAGGCCGCGGCCGACCGGTACCAGTCTGAAGCAGGCCAAGCCAAGTCCAACTCTATATTTAGCTGCCACAGTGCAGCGGCTCACCACTTGTTCATTTGCAAGATGCGGAAGCCCTGCTGCTGCTGCTTGTGCGTCGAGGCAAGTTGGGCACTTGGCACCTGGAGGAGGAGGAAGGCGCTTGGGGATACTCCATAGCTAGGGTAGTGAAGTAGGAGTACCGGCGTCCATAGCTGCCCAGCTGGAAGCTTATCTGAGTGGGTGTATCCAGGGTGACGATCTAGGGTTAGTAGAGAGAGAGAGAGAGAGAGAGAGAGAGAGAGAGAGAGAGAGAGAGAGAGAGAAGCAAACAAGAAGCGAGAGGTAGAGAGGAAGAGAGAGACTACAGCAATAGCCGAGGTTGAGATGCTGTGTGTGTAAGCGGCAGAGCCCGCTGGTGACAAAATGATTTCCTTGTATAATAATAATGATTCTGTGACAGTTCTTCATGCATTGATTGTATCTTGGCTCGGTTTCTCATGTGTGGACTCTCGTGTGAATGTTCTCTGCATACTTGCAAGGTTGAGCGTTGGTGAGAACTTGGATCATTTCAATTCTTTTTGGTACTTTTTTTTCTGAATGTGCAATTTTGACAACTGCTCATGGCCAAATGCGCAAGTTTGGCAAGGGAACAAGGACATGGCTGCAACTTTGACGTTGTCGAAGAACTACCTAGTGGATGCAGCAGCCATTTGCATTTAGGCCTAATCATCATGAACACTCTTCAATACACACCGAGACTTCAACTTTCGCCCTCTCGTCATAAATCTCTACCTGTATTTCATACGCTGGATGTGGGCCGAGTATTTCTCCCTTGCATGGATAAATAAATAGTCCAAGCCTCATCTAAAGAAATTCATTCTGAGATGTCAAGGGAGAACTTAAAAAAAAGGGGGAAAATAAAATAAAAAATACTCTGCGTAGGTCTCCCTCGTACTTTGACTAAAGGATAAGTCAAACCTCATCCAGAGTGTACGCTGACTGACGGAAAAGTCAAACCTCATCCAGAGTGTCCTTTGACTGACGGAAAGGTCAAACCTCATCCAGAGTGTCCTTTGACCGACGGAAAGGTCAAACCTCATCCAGAGTGTCCTTTGACCGACAGAAAGGTCAAACCTCATCCAGAGTGTACTTTGACTGACGGATACAAATTCACTCTGAGATCGAAGGCAGTCGAAGGACTGCCATAAGGGCTACGGTCTTTGCCCGGACACAATGCCCCCTCATAATGAATGCATCGGGACTGGAAAGATAGCTTGGATGCAGTCATGGTCAAGCTGCTTTGCCTTGGGGGGAAGACAGTTGGGTTACTAACGAGAGTTGAGAGGAAGGGGTTACCAACTTGACACACACACAGGAAGGAAACCCAATACGTCGCACCTGGTCTTCTCAGATGTCAAAGCTGGCAACAAAGAACGAATACTTATTAATAGTTGTTATATGTGTGCGCTCCCCAGAATGAACATGGATCCAGGACCATAAGGACCTGTTCAAAAAAAAAAAAAAAAAAAAAAAAAGTGTGCAAACTTGCAAAGTGTACTGCGCAAGACCTCCATCGTAAGAAATTATGCAACCACGCTCGTTATCCACCTACCAGATCATAACTTTTTGAGGAAGGGGATTTGAATTTTGAACTCGTCTGTATTTCAACATCTCATGGGTGTACCGACCGAGCGAGGCCCGTTGGCACCTTCCAGATCATCCCATTATTAATTTATTATCCCATTTTCCACCACTGCAGCCGCATTAGTCCATTATCCCTCCGTTATGCATCGTCCACATCCCCTCCTCCGGTTCCCCCCAACCCATTCCCCCATCCCTTCATCATTGCCAAGTCAACCAAGGACTGAAAACCCAAGGCGGATACTGGGAAACTGTCAAGTTTCTATTTATTTACAGACTAGATGACCTGTTGCGGCTCCGCCCGCAAAAACAAATATGACACGTGATGCCTTCATAGAGGAGGTACATGACCAACTCTCTCTCTCTCTCTCTCTCTCTCTCTCTCTCTCTCTCTCTCTCTCTCTCTCTCTCTCTCTCTTTGTGTATTTTTTTTTTTTTCTGTTTTTGTGTGTGTGTGCGTGTGTGTGTGTGTGTGTGTGTGTGTGTGTGTGTGTGTGTGTGTGTGTGTGCGTGTGTTTGTGTCTGTGCGTGTCTGCACGTGTGTGTATGTGTGTGTGCACGCGGATGGGTGTGCGTGTGCGCGGATGTGTCTCCGCGGATGGGTGTGGGTGTGTGTGCCAATGTGTGTGCGTGTGTGTGTGCACGTTTGTGTGTGTGCGCATGAGTCTTGTCACATTCGCCATACATAACTCCGCAAAAGGAAGCATGACTGTGCCAGACTGTTTTGCCGGACTTTCACGGACTCATTAGGAGGTTGAACCTGGACAGTCTTCCCAGGATGCAAGTGCATACATGTTTGGGCATGTGTGTGTCCAGGATGCAAGTGCGCACATGCGTGGGCATGTGTGTGTCTAGAATGCAAGTGTGTACATGTGTGGGTATGTGTGTGTCCACGTGCATGCTTGCTTTCGCACGCGAGAGAGAGAGGGCGCCTTCGACTGTGAGCAAGAACCATCGGCCGCACTATAGGGCCATACGATTCAGCGCGTAGAGGAGTCTGTTCGCGTAAGGCGTTTGTCGGCTTCGTTACGATGCAGCGCATCCTATAGAGTTTGTCGGTGGGTCGCGTATAGAATATGGCCAGGCCCTGAATTCAACGGGCCATCAGCAGGCCAATGCCCAACAGGCACTGGGCGTAAGGCCCGGCGGTTTTTTCGACTACCTACCGGCCAGTACAGGTCCTCTTTCCAACGGGCGCGTTGATCCGGACCGTCAGCCGGCTCAATGGTTCAGATCATCGTGCGACCTTAAGACTTTAAGATCGTGAGACAATCCAGGTTGTCCGACCTGGCGGACGGCCTGGATCGTCGCGCGATCTTAAGTCTTAAAGTCTTAAGATCGCGCGAAAAGCCGGACCGTCGGGCCGGTAGGACCGCATGTGGCCCGGATTGCCCAATTCTCACGTTAGCCATTTCCGTAAGTGTACGGAAATCTAATAACCTGAGATGGGTAATTAGAGGAAGTAGGACCTTTGGAGGACTTCAAATAGACAGTCAGGTCATGAACTTCTTCATTTCTTCTTCTTCCTCCTCGTCCTCTCCCCCATCCTCCTCCTCCTCCTMCTACTACTACTACTACTACTACTACTACTACTACTACTACTACTACTACTACTACTATTTGTGATCATCCATCTCAATTCCCACTTTCTCATTGTGATCATCCATCTCCTTGTCCTCCTTTTCCTCCTCTTCACCATCCTCCTCCTCCTCTGTCCCCCCCCCCCCCCTCCTCCTTATTGTCATACCCCCCCCCCCCCCCCCCCCACTTCCCCGTTGTCCTCCACTTCCTCCCCCCTCCTCCTCCTCCTCCTTCCCCTCCTCCTACAACTCCTCCGTGTCCTCCTCCTTGTTGTCACCATCCTCCTCCTCCTCCTCTTCGTCACTCTCCTCCTCTATCTCCTCCTCAGCATCCACTTCCTTGTCTTCCTCCTCCTACTCCTTCTCTTCTTCCTTCTCATCTTCCTCCTCCTCCTCCTCCTCCTCCTCCTCCTCCTCCTTGTTGCTCTTCTTCTTCTTCTTCTTCTTCTTCTTCTTCTTCTTCTTCTTCTTCTTCTTCTTTCGGTATTGTCATGGTCATCGTCATCATAGTTAACATATGTCCACACCGGAAGTATTGTGCATCACACTTACTTTTATATGGAGGACAAGAATGGGTGGCAGCCTGAATATGCTTAGCTTCTTTGTAGAGCTCCTTGGTGCCTGCATCATAAAGGCAATGGAACAAACACAGAACAGAGAAGAAGCGAGAAGAGAAGAGAGAAGAGAAGAGAGAAGAGAGGAGAGAAAAGAAGAGTAGAACAAAAACGAGGAGAGAAGAGGAGAGAGAAGAGAAGAGAAGAGAAGAGAAGAGAAAAGAAGAGAAGAGAAGAGGAGAGAAGAGAAGAGAAGAGAAGAGAAGAGAAGAGAAGAGAAGAGAAGAGAAGAGAAGAGAAGAGAAGAGAAGAGAAAAGAAAAAAGAGAAGACAAGAGAAGAGAATGAACATGCAACTCCATTGGGAGACAAGCATCGAAGTATCTGTGATTCTGTATGTGAAGTTTTTTCTTGTTTTTCCTGCTTCTGTTAATGGAGGCAAACTCACCTGATCTGTCAATGTAATTTTCATTTATTTTGCCCCACTCTCATGTCTGCCATGGTAATTCAGCAGTTCCATTCAATAATTTCAATTTCATTTCACATGTTTTTATTCCCCGACAGATTCACAATTGAAGATTGAAACGTAACTTCTCTGTAATGAACCCAGTCTGGCAGATACTCAGCAATCGTCAAACATCAGTAGTCTCAATATTTGCAACAAAGTCTCCAAATTGAAGTGATATCTCAAACAGTATCTCATTACCATTAGAAGAAGAGAGTGGAGGGGAAACAGACAGAGGAGAAGGTGGGAGAAAAGGTCACACAATAGTAATCCCTTCAAACCCCTCTCCTTCTCCGGTCTTCTTCCCTCTCCACGTCAACAACCAATAGATCTCGTGAAGACCATGAAGACACAGCAGATTCCAGTGACGACGTCAACCTCAGGTGAGTACCGATCCCCTTCATCCACAGATCCCGATCTTCCTCCTCCTCGCAACCAGTCACCTCATGTAGACAGGGTGGACAATGCCACGTCAGCAGTCGAGATAGGTGGCATATGCCACATCATCAATGAAGACCAGTGGCAGCGCCACATCAACATGCAATGTAGACCAAAGGCAGCGCCACATCAGAACAGAGGCAGCGCCACATGAGCATGCAATGTAGACTTGAGGCAGCGCCACAGCAGCATGCAATGAAGACCAGAGGCAGCGCCACATCAGCATGCAATGCAGACCAGAGGCAGCACCACATCAGCATGCAATGTAGACCAGAGGCAGCGCCACATCAGCATGCAATGGAGAGCAGAGGCAGCACCACATCAGCATGTCTGGCGCTCAGAACAAGAAGCGCCAGCATGCTGCCTCTACCTCGTGCCGTCGTCCGCATCGCCAGTGCACAGCCAACGTCTAGCCAGCGTCGAGCCAGCATAATGCCAGCGTCTAGTCAAAGTCGAGCCAGCGTCAAAGCAGCATAGCAAGACTGAATGCTTGACCACCTCGAGGCCAGCCTTAAGTAGCATTTGACGAGGCTGTCTGTCCTCGAGTCCTGTTCCCTCAGTCGTCCAGATTGCCTCACAGCCGAGGGCCCCGATTGTGTACAGTTGCAGACTTACACTTGGTCCTAATGCTGTCTAGGTACCTGCATACAAACAAGTGTGTGTGCTTGACCGGCGGCCTTGGCTGGGTACCTTTGGACTTTGACTGTTGGTGTCACAACAGTTGACAAAAGTCAATTGTCACACGTCCAGGCCCTGAATCCTCGTGTGGGGTCTTTTTCCCCCTGTTTGGCCTGGGCTGAGGGCGGCCAAGTAGGCCCTCAGGTATTCCACGAGACATATGGCATGGGTTATTGCATTCTTGTCGGCCCAGTTTTCGAGTTCCATCACATAAAATACATCGATTCTCACTTAACCCACATTCATGTGCAGCCACAATGTCAGGAGCAGTAGGTAGGAGTTCTTTCCTACTAAACCATATGGCTTCAAATGGAGGTTGGGTTGAACTTTACTTTATACTGCTTATGAGGTCTTCCTCTGCCACCTGTAGAAAAAAAGCCATGTTCCAATATATTTTCAACTTCATACCCTCCATTCATAGAGGGTGGAAACATGGATGGCCTATTTGGGAAATTATCACCTTCTACATAGGGCAGCAACTTAGACGTGTGGAAGACAGGGTATGTCCTTAGGTGTGGAGGAACATCGATGTGGTAGGAAGGTCCGTTTGCATCTCCAATCACCTTGAGAACTTCCCAGGGGCCATAGTAGATAGGTAGCAGTTTCTGAGACACCTAGCTTCAGCAGGCAAAGGAATGAACATAGCATACTTTGAGAATCTATCTACGATGATCATTACCTGACTGCTGCCATTCCGACTCTTAGTGAGACTCATAAAGTCAATGGAAATAGACTCACCTGGCTCACTTGGAATAGGCAGCGATCTCAGTAGTCCCATAGGATTCTCATGTGAGGGTTTGTTCCTTTGACAGACAAGACAAGTCCGCACATATGTTAGTACATCTTCCTTCATTCTTTTCCACTCAAAACGTTCACGCAAATCGGCATACGTCTTCTTAAAACCAAAGTGACCTTCCGCATCATGGCATTCCCCAATGATTAAACTCTTGATTGGTTCTAGGTGAGGAACACGCAATTTTTCTTCCGTTTTATCCAGCAAGAAGAGTAAGTCATCAGTCATTCCATATTTCGGAAACAACTCAGGGTTCTTTCGTAGAGTTTCAATGATAGGACTCCAAATAGGATCACTCCCATAACCCTTGCGGATCTGTTCTTTCGGTTAATTTCCGATATCGAGATATGAGACAATGGTTCCAAAGAAATCTGCACGCCTCGACAAAGCATCCGCAACCACGTTAGACTTACCTTTGATGGCTTTCACCTCAAAGTCAAATGTGTCAAGGAAAGCGGACCACCTTACCAACATGTCAGCGAGTTTAGGCTGAGGCTTGATCTTCAAAGTAGAGTGGTCAGAATAGACAGTGAAATGTCTCCCTAACAAGTAATGTTTCCAGGTATCTAGTGCAACAACTAAGGCATACAATTCCCTTTCATAGGTGGAGTTGGCCACTTTCTCTGATGGAAGTCTTTTATACATAAACTCAATAGGGCTATATCCCTTACCGTCGTCCTGTTGTAGCATAACCCCAATCCCATACTGACTTGCGTCACTCGTGACGATGAAAGGAAGAGAAGGATCGACAATCTTTAGGACATGGTAATGAATCAAAGCATGCTTTAACTTTTTAAACGATGACTCACAATTTTTGTCCCACAACCAAGGCTTTTCCTTTTTCAGTAATCTTCTCATAGGAGAAGCTATCAAGGAGAAGTTTCTGACGAACTTCCTGTAGTAGCTAGCTAGTCCTAGGAAGGATCTTAGTTCAATTATAGTCTTAGGTTGTGGCCAATCTCGGATTGTTGTAATCTGTTTTTCTTCAGGCCTCAGTCCTTCCTCGTTCACTATATGCCCTAAGTACAAGACTTCAGGCTTAGCAAACTCAGACTTCTTCAGATTCAATTTGAAAAGTTGCCCTCGCACAACTTCTGCAAAACAATTTTTAGGTGTTTCTCGTGATCTTCCAATATCTTACTGTAACACTAGAATATCGTCGAGATAGACTACTACGAATTGATCAAGCCATTGTCGGAACAACTCGTTCATTGACCTTTGAAAGGTTGCAGGTGCATTGGTCAAACCGAAAGGCACGACCATGAACTCGTAGTGACCATACCTGGTTCAGAATATCGTCTTGTGTTGATCCTCAGGAGCCACCTCGATCTGGTGGTACCCTGACTTAAGATCAATTTTTCTAAAGTACCTACATCCCTACAACTGATCCAATAGATCGTCAATGCGCGGAAGAGGCTCCGCGCTTTTGACAGTGACGGAGTTCAACCCACGATAATCTATACATAGACGAAGTTCACCTTCCTTTTTGGGCACGAATAAGACCGGCGCACCATAAGGAGATGAGCTAGGGCGAATCCATCCTTTATCAGTAAGTTTTTGCAGCTGCTTACGCAGTTCCTCAAGTTCCCTAGGAGACATTCGGTAGATGGGACCCTTGGGAATCTTGCTTCCGGGAATGATCTCGATAGTGTGCTTAATAGCACGCTCAATGATTCTCGTCGGCTCAGTCTGCAAGTTTTTGTATTCATCGAGAATTTTATCGATAGAAGGTGGATAGGATAAGGAACACTCACCAACTCGCTTGACAAGCGCCATCATCACCTCCTGATCCAACTTCTTCTTTACTACCATCGAACGAAAGGTTAGGTAACTCATACAACAAAAAGACAGAGTAGAGTCAGAGACAGACCTATGGTACAATTTAATCACACGTAGTTCAGACTTTTCGTCCTTGAGTTTGACAATTTCATCTTTGAACCTTACCTCTGGGTCGGCTTCCTCGTGCCAATCCATTCCCAGAATCATATCAAACGGCAAGTTTTTTTCTATTAGGAAGGATATCTCATGTAAAATCTTTTTACCTTCCTTAGCCTTGAAATAACATTTAACACGGTCGACGTATTGAGAGACAGTAATCGTGCTTTTGTCAGCCAGTATAGACGTGATAGGTCGAGGTAAGTCTTTTACCTTCATTCCCAGATGTAATTTACGAATTGCCTTCTCTGAGATATAAGACCGCGTTGATCCTGGGTCTAACAGTGCACTCACTCGTATGTGCGCAATCTCAATTTCCGCGATCATTAATTCACCCTTAGACTTAGCTTTCTCCGCCCACGAACTCCGAAGTGCTATGAGTTCATTGTCGAGCTCGTCAAGGGAATCGCCAAGTGAAACAGAACAGAGTACTGCGTTAGGGTGGTCTAGACGACGGGCGGAAGAAGAGTCATCCTCTGCCTTGAGAGTCGAAGGGGTAGAAGGGGTTAGAGGCGCGTTACCCTTGTCTTCATCTAAACCCTTCGACTCGGTAGGAGCAGATGCTACTCCTACTGGCTGCTCGCTTTTGGGTTCCTAATACGTGGGCCAGGCTATCGCATGGCCCACAGTGCCATCCTTAAGGCATTGGCGATTGTCGATCTTGGACTGCCATTCCTCACGCGTCATGTTCATCTTCTCCCACGACTTCCCGAATGCTA